AGATATATTAATGATGCAAATGGTTATAAATAATTTGGAAATATGTTTGATTTTTATTGATTTCAGTGGGTTGTTGTGGTGCTTTTATTTGCAGAAACAGAAGGGCTATGTACTTGACCTCAGAAGCCGAAGAGTTGATTGAAGTCATTATTTGTCTATTTTCTGACCGCCAACTTCAAGGTCTTCTTGTGCTTTTGCATGAATGCATGCAGTCAGCTATCAGTTACTTCACTAACGAAGAATGGGAATCTAGCTGTGAGAAGATAGCAAAATCTCTTGCTTGCAGGTTATTGACTCTACTTCTTGTTTGGTTTCAATCTACATGTATGCAGTTGGATTGGAGTTTTTGCTAATTGGAATGGGGATCACTCTTTCGTCTATGTCGAGCAGAGTTTTTGATCGCTTAGTGAATTTGAACTTTTCTGCACCATTTGTCAGGGATCAGTTAATATTTATTGCATCTACCCTCATTATCATATATTGTAAACTTTGCTGATGATATGCCTTTTATTTTCTGTTGTAGTAAGGTCAAAATTGATTATGGACATAAGTACTTGGGACTATATTTTCGCTGAAATCACTGTAATAGGAATTTTCTAGAAATGGAAAGTATCATAAGGAAGGGTTTTGTACAGACAGATAGCATAAGATAAATCGTCATGCTCATATTCCATTGGTTGGTTACTGTGGATATCTGGATTATCATAGGAAGGCAAATTGGAAAAATTGAAAACTAGAAATTTAAAGAGGTAGTCAACTGTTATATTAGTACTTTCTGAGATCCTTATGCCATTTAATTCTGTATATCATTCTTGGTGATGGTTAAAAAACAGAAAAGTAAGACTAAAAAAAACTGATTTTATTGCCTAAATATTGTTGTTGTCTTTTTCTGTTTACCTTTACAATTCCTCTCCCTTATTATTGTTGATTTTGTGATATGCAGAGTACCTAAGGACTTGAACTGCCTAAGAATTGTGGAATGCATTTCGGTAGTTAATACTCGCTGTAAGCTGTTTAGAAGTACAGTTGCCCGTCAAATCCTTCTTAGTTATTTTGATCTTAAGGTACTGAACCTGATTACAAGTTTGTTGAATATAGTACTAATTATGCTTTTATTCTAAGTTTTATCAAACAACTGTCCCCGCAAACTAAGTTAAGCTGTTAATGGGAAAGAAAGAGGCAGTCTCTATGCAATCCAATAAGATTTGAATTTTAATATCATATGCTGGTAATAAACAGATTTTGGAATCATTAATTAATCTCTCTTCTTTTTATTGTTTATTCTTTTTAAGCACTTATTTTTGTTGATATAATATCAGCCAGATTTGGAAGTGTTATGGTCATGTCCTACCCTTCTATTTTTTAATCTCATACTGATAGTAGGTTTTTTGTTCTATTTTTGTTTTCTTTTCAAGACATTCATGGTGACATGAACTATACATAATAACTTATGATTATTACTGATTGTTCATTGAGTGAATTTGTGTTGCTTATTCTCTAAATGTTTTTCTCTTTAACCACAAAAGACATTGTTGTTAGTTTGAAATGTCTGTCTAGATGATCCTTTACACAACAAATTGCATAAACTGATTTGACACTGCTGCTTGACATCATACTTCACCTCAGGCCCCTTCTGAAGAAGAGATTCTAAAACTGCTTATCCCAATCAATGTCAAAGACAAAAGCTGTGATTTTTTCAAGATGTACATACACTTGGTGTTGACAGAGAATTGGCTCTTGTCTAATCAACTTTTAGAAGACAAGCCAGTCTTGAAGGCAACGTGGCGCCTCTACTTAAGAAACTGTTCTTGCATGATAGCCAGCACAGACTTGCGGTGTTTTGCATCTAAGGTGTGGAATCAAATTTAATCATCTCTTCCTTACACCTTGGTGAGTATATTAAAAGTATTTTCCGCTTTGCAGGTCCGCAACAAGGCATCATATCTTCTGCAAGGCACTGTCAGCTAATTCAGGTTGCCAAGTTGAAATTATGTATATTATGGAACATATGAGTAGGAAAGAATCAGGAAGAAAGTGCCCTGATACATTATGAATTGCTAACAACTGGAGTTGTTTTAGTCCGGATCCTGAAGCAGGACGTTTTGAAGCATATTGGGGGGTGGGGGGGGCTTGCCTCTAGTGGTTTTTGCAAAGGGAATGTTCGTTTGGTTTTCTTTGCTTCTTTCCTCCCTCACTAAGTTTCTCTGTAATGGATATATTGGTAATGTATTATGTAATTGGAGACAAATGCAGGGCAACAATGGCTTCTTCCCTTTTAGTTTAAAATTGCTTTTGAATTTTCTTTTAAACCCCTAAATTAGAGAGGAAAAATGTCATTCAATTTTAATTGGGTTAGTTTTAAAAGATATGAGACTAAATACAAATGCCTTTCGGCCTTAATCAAGATTTCATTAAGTTTTAGTAGGGATGTCTCTCAAGAGATGTTAAAAATGAGAGTCCAAGTGATAGTATAGCTTATTTTATTTTATTTTTCTTCTTGAAAATATGGCAGCCATCACCTCATCTATTAAAATTAAAATCAGACACTGGACATGATGGCACAGTGTGGTCCAAAATGATGGTTAGAAAGAACAAGCACTACGGAAGGAAGAGTGTGGTCCCAATATGATAATTAGAAATGGAACGGCTTATATATGCTAAAGCATTAGCAACAAAGTTAGTCTCTCTAGAAATATGTCGAATTGTACATCATCAAAACAATGACAAATGAATTTAATGTCTCAAATGATCATTTGAACTTGCCAAGAGGTCGAACAAGACCGTAATAAGCAAGTAATTAAGAGTTTTAGAATAGAAGTGTTTACTCACATGTCAAACTAGATCTCATAAGTTGCAATGGTGCAAATTAATTTTTAGACTTGAGACATCATAGTTGTTTTGTGGTTGTGTTGTTTGTCTTTGAAGGCACTATACAATAGTGTTTTAGAAGATACAACCAAAATGTATTTTATCAAGACTCTCAATAAAGTCATGAAGACAAATGAATGTACAACAAAGAATCTCTACTCTCAGTAAAGAGAGAGAATACTCCTAATATATGATTGATAAAATCTTTGCGCAAAGTAGTGGATAAGATTTTGTTAGGGTCTTTTTCCATCGAAAGGCTTGTCCTGGTTTGTTAATTCTTGGATCGCCATAAAGTGGTGAATCAAGCATGCGTTGCCCCTTTTTCAGAGTTAGCGAGAACTAGGCCCAAAGTGTCCTGAGGGAGAAGCAAGTCCCAGGGGAGTACTTTGTTCTTCTTCCAGTGGCTACGTGTTTTGTGCTTATATTTCCGGCAGCTCGACAAAGAGTTGAAGATGGTGCATTGATGTTGCACAGGCTTGGCATGAGGGTTTGCTTTGGTGAATCAAGATACTACTAGGCTTGCATGAGAGGCTTGTGGCTAAGATAAAGTGAGCATAAAGAAAGGACTAAGGCTTGAGATTTTGGGTGTTTTCGGCAGCTAGACGAAGAGCTTGTGATGTCTACGTTCTCTTACCAAAAAAGTAATGACTATGGTTTCAACTTAGCTTGAGAGGATAGGTGTTTCAGATACAGGATGGAGCTTTTTGAGAGAGAGAGAGAGAGAGAGAGAGATGGGGACGAATGGATGAGTGGCTTGAGTAGATTTCCGGCACCTTGACGAAAGCTTCGTTAGGCTCTTGAGTGTTTTGCCAGAAGCGAAAAGGGGAAGCAATGTAAGAACATTGCTCGAAATTGAAGGGTTCCAATAGTGAAAGGGGATGCTTGCTCTCTCTGGGTGGTTATGGGAAAGAGAGGAAGAAGATGAAAGAACAAAGCATGAAATTGAAGCTTCTAGCAAGGAGTAAGGATGTTGCTCCCTTTGGATGAGTTGAAGATGACTTGCTGATATTGATCTGAGATTATATGAGCTTGGCATGAGAGCTTGAAGTGTGGGAGCTAAAGACCCACAAGTTTAACAAATGAAAATGCATGTGTTTGGCTTGGTGTTGGATATGCTTGAGTTTGAGTGTTGATAATTTGTTGTTTGTGGCTATGGCTATGGGGATTTAAGAGTTTCAAGAGAAGGAGGATGGGAGGAAAATCTTGAGGTTTGAAGGCTATGATGTTTATAGCTTGGAAGGAAGGAAAAACTTGGAGTTATGCTTGGTGAAGCTTTATGAATTTAAGAGTTTCAATGTAGACAACCACTACAAAACAAATGATCACGAAAGAAAGATCGAAGAGCAGCCATGGAAAAAGGTTTTGATCTTGTAAAATTGGTGAATAATAGTGATGATGAAGATCAAGGAGTTTGAGTGCTTATATATAGAAAATTTGTGGAAATGCTCTCTAATACCACTGGTACCCTTCGTTTGGATGAATGAATTGAAAATTGTATAGAATTCTAAATTGACGTAATTTAGATCTCCATTATTTAAATTTCTGACAGTTAATAATTTCTGACAATTAATAATTTCCATGTTTAGACTTATGCATGTTGAATTTTGTAAATGACAAAACTTACAGGGAAACAAATTCTCGCTAAATAGAAATTGTGAAATGACTCTTATTTTGGCAGAACTACTCAGAAATCTCAATCCCAAATTTTCACAATTTTTTCCGCGCGTAATTTAATAGGTTTCATGCTTAAGTTGCCAAAAAATAGAAATATCAATTTCTCTTATTCAATTCCCAACTTTTAGCTAAATCCCAAATTATTTTCCTCCATCTAAACGAGGGGTTATATTCTCAAATTGCATTATTACCGTGGCTTTTTAGTAGCTTTGAGAGCATTTTTTATCCGTTTTTAGGTATTGCTTCTCTATCTATTAAATACTTTTTAATATTATTTATTTAAGAAATTCTCAATTTTCATGATACCTCCTCTTGGTTTTTTTTGTTTTACAACAATTTATTATAACAAAAAGAAATAACCTTAAATATTGTTTATTATTTTCCTCTTCCTTTTTTTGGTCAAAATTTATTAATTTCCTCGTAGTCAACCTACAAAACCCCAAAAACCGCCACTTGATAAGTTGGCTTGGTCAAATGAGCAAAAGGCCATAGACAACCCTCTGTCTGAACATTTCGATTTCCTTTTCTGCAAAATCCCACACGCAGAGAATCAGAAGAAAAAAAACATAAAGAAATGCATTTTAGTTTGAACGACCACACTTAAACCGTCGTCTTTGGTGGAGAACTCAGACGACCATGGACGACACCGCCACCACCACCATCAAAACCAAAACTAACGACAACAAAAGCCGCAAGCGCCGCTGGAGCGAAGGCGATGACGAACAAAGCAAATGCGAAGACGACGATGACTTGGAGGAAGAAAAGCAGTGCGACGTGGAGCTCTGGGAGACGCTGAGCAGGAGCTTCCGGCAGGTCCAGTCCGTACTGGATCAGAACCGAGCTCTGATCCAGCAGGCTAATGACAACCACCGGTCCAGAGTCCCCGATAATCTTTCCAAAAATGTTGTCCTGATCCGCGATATCAATTCCAATATCAACAAAGTCCTCTCCATCTACTCCGATTTATCGGCCAATGTCTCGAGCATCGTTCACCGACCTCGCGCCATAATCCCCGCCAAAAGCAACAAGAACGACGGCGACGAAGACAACGACACAGGCAATTGGAAATTGGATCGGTAAAATCGGGCGTGGAGTCGCAGTAATTTCGAACACCTTGTTGTGAGTCTTCTGTTTGTGCTTGTGCTTGTGAGTCGTCTGCAAACTGTTTGTTGAAATGCTTGCGTTGTTGTAAAATGACGAAAGCTTTGCTTAATATTGAGCTTTTGTTATGTGTTGTATGAGGACCAAGGCTGCGGGATTGCTTATCTGCATTATCATCCACCCTGCAGATACTAATACTATGAGGTATATTTTCTGTTAGTTTTTTGTTTAATTTTTTAATTTTATTACTAGTATTTGTTTTACAGCATGTTTAATCTGCCCTTTTTTTTTATGACAGAATAGTAGGAAACAAAACAATCACTTTACCTATGGAAGCATTTTGCGGAAGGCATTGAAATGAATGGGATCTCAATCACAAAGTTCTATCAATATCAAATAGTACTGCTTCAAGCAGAGCAAGTCCAGAGAGTGAACTTTAAAAAAAGGCTATGAGGCATTAGTATAACAAAAGAATGAAACCAAAAATAAAATAAAAAATGTAACGCTTGCACCACCTGTTTCTCTGTAATTGATCTTTCACTTTTTCATTGCTCAGTTTGTACATAACATGAGATGATACCAAACAGAAATATACTTTTGAATAGTTGTGATGATTTGTTTTACTACTTCGGGCATAATATTCAGGGAGAATAAGTGAACAAATAGTGTCTAACAAAAACAGGAAAAATAAAAGAAAGAAAAAAACCATTCTCAACCTTGTATAGCCTACAAAGAACCGCCTTCTACTCATAGCCTTCTCTTGACTCTCTCGTATACATCACAATTTCAGCTAAAAACACTAAATGAACATTGTACTTGATCGTTAAACCCAGGAAAAAGGCTACATAATGCTTAACCGTTATTTCTTAATCTGGGCTCCCCATATACATATATTTCACAAAATTTAAGCAAGAGAAAAGTACTGTAAATCTATTTAAAACTGAAAAGAAAATAAAACAAATCATCCCTGCATATAAGAATAAGAAAAGAAACAGTGCAACAAAAATATGGCAAAATATTTAACACCATAAACTCAAACTCAATTTAGTTTACCAAATAATCTTCTTCTTGAAGAATAGAACCAAGCACTTGATTCAAAACACCCCTTAAGAAGAATTAAAATATGCTACTACGTTATGTACACATCATGGATAAATAGATCATTAAGTTATAAATAAATAAACAAAAAATAAAAACAGTAATTGGAAGAGCAAAAAGCATAGAGTAATACAAATTTCAAAACAAAATATTCAACTGAATAGCAAATTTTTTCATGTCTTTAGGACAAGAATTGGTATATAAGAGTTCACTATGAAAAGGAAAATATGAAGACAATATGAAATGAAAGAAACCCCCCCCAAAAAAAAAAGGATGAAATACCAAACTTTCGTTCAAATCAAGAAACACAAATAAACATTTTGGACGAAAATTTAACTACTTTGAACATAATAATCAAGAAGAATAAGTGAACAAAAAGTTTCGAATGAAAACAGGAAAAAGGAGAAAAAAACCATTTTCAACCTTGTCTCGCTTGCAAAGAACCTCCTACTCACAGCCTCTTCTTCACTCTCTCGTACACTGTTAACATCTTGCAAAAACTAAAAATCCACAAAAAGAAAATAAATGAAAATCACCACAATCTCAGCTAAAAACACCAAATGAACTAGTGCTTTCTAATTGAACACATTGTAGTCCATCGTTAAACCCAAAGAAAAGGTCAAATTATGACCAGATAAATCCTGCATATTTTCCTTATGACAACAATAGTAGGGACAATTAGGCGAGAACAACCAAAATTACTTGAAAACAACAAAATACAACCAAAAATCACTTGAAACACATGGTTCATCTGCAGTATCATATATAATCAATCACCAGCTAATCCTAACCCTAACCATAGTTACTCAAAACTTAAATAGAATAAGAGATATATTTGAGTATCCTACTGTCCCATTATAAAAATTGATTGCACACAGAAGCAAGCAGAGATTTTTCAATAGTTTTAGGCAAAACTAAATAACCAAAAGCACAACCAGACAAGTTTATACTATTATGTTTAACAACAATGCCTTGACACAAAATATACTACTTACAGTATCAGACTGATCGATACGATATCTACTATCTTCTTTTTAAAAAGCAAACTCTTGCTAGAACTACTACTGGACTGTCCAATGAGGAAGAAGATACATCAAGTAATGCATCCAAGGCCTGGAGAAGCATATAAATGATCATTAGATTATAACAGAAAACCTAGTAGGTTCAAATAGGAATTTTCTTTAAGATCGAACAAAATTTCCATAATGCTCATGCCGCCTGGCGAATGTTCTATAAAAATCTTAAGCACTCAGTGAAACATGATAGAAACTCATCTTCAAACCAACATATGCAAGCACTTAGAAGAATATGAAATCAAAGAAACAAATCATATATATATAAAAGAAAGGAATTTACAAATTACAATGGTGCCTTTCGTGTACTATATAAGAAAGGAAATTCACAATTGGTCAAAAATTTCTTACAGATAGATATTCAAAATATATTTTCTACTCGTTGAACCAATATGTGATGTCGTCTAATTGTTGATTGCATATATTCTCCAAACCACTTGAGTTCATAGCCTCTACCCGTAGGGTTTCGTCTATATGAGGCAGCTCCTGTGACAATGGTGGTGCTCCCAACAATGCATCCATGTCGATAGCATATTCTTCATCAGTAAGACAACCATAGTCGAACGGATCATCGATGTTATCTTGATCATCACCACAAAGATAATTCGAAATCGCATTATAATTAATATCGAATATCAACTCTTGATCATGATTATTTACGACGCTACTTAGGCTAGAAGATCTCTGTGGTTGCTCATCATCAATCTTGACCGTTGCCGATGCCAATTCTTTTCTTGCCTTCTTGTTTGAGGGTTTCTCCTTAAATTCTTGAGTTGAATTATTCCTCTTGTTGGAAACCCTGCCGTTCTTTTTAAGTCGGCAGAGCACAATCTTCTGCGCCTCTTTATCAAGAAGACTGTATTCTTCTAGTAGCCACTTGCCGTGGTCCTCGCACCCTTGGTTCTCGTAGCGCAAATTCCTTTTTTGCCCGATAGGGTTTCCGGTCGTCTTGTTGTAAACCTTTTTTGAAAAGGTTTCTCTCCAAGTACCTCCGGCCTCAATCTTGCGTTTGATGCGCTTACCCTTTTGGCTTAAATTCTTTAGTTCGGTGAAGAAATATAGGTCTTCGTCGACCAGGCCAGGCCCTCCGAACTGATCCCAGACCACCCAGGGCTCTGTTTCGCCCAAGAAATTGAACTCATGCACAATGTTGCTGTAATACGATGCCATTAATGGATCCTTGGTTATCGATTTCTTGTAGAGGAAGTAACTGATGAGTTCTTGATCTGTAGGGCGAAACCTAAAACCCAACAACCGATTATTATTAGCCATTGTTAACCCAACAGCTGTTTTCTCTCTTTTTCTCTCTCTCTCGCTCTCTCTCTCTGTTTTGCTTTAATCTTTGATGGGAAACGAGAAAGAAAGAAAGAAAGACTGAGTTTGCTCGTGACTTGAACTGATTTATAGGCTCGGTGGTCTCAAGTGTTTGACCTCACTACCCAGCTGTTGGATGTAATCTCATCCAACGGACAGCTGTCTTCCAATATCCAACCGTTGTTTCTTAACTAATTTTGTCACTTAGCTATATGGGTCGCTTTCAAAAGTTTTCAAAAAAAAAAACAAAACATTTTGGAGCACATGTTTATTGTCGAGATGTACACGGATTCAACTTTTGTGCGTCGTATATACCAACCTGGGAATAGAAATGGCCTCCCCGACCAATAAAGAAACAAAGTTCTTCAAATCTGACAAGTGTCATGTAGTGATTTTCAGATTTTCTATTCTCCAATTTCTTTCCTAGTTTTTGTCATGCAATATACAAAGTGTCATGTAGAACTTTCACAGTTTTGCATGTTTCAGTTATTAATCTTCTCATAATAGTTTTATTTTGCCTTCTATATTCTGCTTGTCGAGGTCCAGCTCAAAATATTAGAGCTTGACTTAAACTTGCACATAATACTTTTCTCCTGTGGTTCAAATTGTTTGACGACTCAACTGCTTCTTGTCAAATGAGGTAAATAACAATTGGAAATACTAGTTTGACGACACATAATACTTTCTCCTGTGGTTCAAATTGTTGATTTATAGGTTGGTGTCTGTTATTGTTTTTAGCTTATTGCTTATTTTTACCACTGGAGGATCTAGTAAGGAGCCAGTGAAGGCACTAGCCCCCACTCAGTCTTGTTCTACACCCATGAAGGTGTCAAGTTTTCATGGTATTTTCTGTTGAATGGGGGCAAATAGTTTGATAAAATGCCTCAAAGAAGGCTAAGGCAGGGAAAGGGGGCAAAGAAATGGTTCAGACTTGAGCTGCATTAGGCCAAACTTTACAGGTTGTTGCTAGGTCAGAGTTTACAAGTTCTTGCCCCCAGGACGGATAATTCCTGGATCCACCAGTGATTGTTACTATCATTGTATCATGAGTATGGGCTGCTCATTGCAGCTGTCATTGCAGCTTCTTTCCACTCGCCTAATTTGCAAACTCCATTCATCAAAGAGTTATAGGTAATGACATCTGGGGCAATACCCTTGCACATCATTTCTGAGAAGAGGTTTAATGCATCATCAACTAGTGTATCCTTACAAAGACTGTCGATGATTATGCTATAGACAACTAGGTCAGGTTTGCAAGCTCCTTCCTTCATCTTCCTAAGCAACTGAATAGCAGCACTATTGTTACCCTTCATGCAAAAGCCCTTTACTAGTGCGCCGTAAGTAACCACACCAATTACCTCCCCTCATCATTTTGTTGAAAATTCCTGCCGCCTCCGCCACTCTATTCTTGATAAGAAAGCCGTTGATCAGAGTGGTGAAGGTAAAGACATCTGGTTCAAGACCAAGTTTGAAGAATTTTCCCAATACAGATAAACTAAACCCCATTTGGTTTAGATGACAATAACAATTTATGAGAATGGTTAGGGTATAAACATCATGTCCAATTCTCGACACACCCATTTGGTTATACAATGAGATGACGGCAGAGTAATGTTTCAATTTTGCAACTTGACCCAAGATTTTATTGAAACAGACAACAGAAGGCAGAGGGCGCATTTGAAGCATTCTATCGAACACATTGAAAGCATCCTCAACATTTGTAATTTTGGGTAAGTCTCTTTTTGGCTGCTCTAGTTGGGTTCTTGTAGATTTGATCGGTTTCGAAGGTTGAGAGTGAAAGAAAGCAAAGTAATTGTTGACGAAAACGAGAAAAGTGGGGTTAGAGTGAAGACAATTCATACCTCTGCTGCTCCAGAAATAATAAGAAGAAGAAGTAGCAGCAGTTGTAGTCCGTATCACCATCTTCAGCCTCTCTGAGCAAAAGGGCGCTCAAACCTCCCTCCAACTGGTTTCCTCGAGAAAGCTCAAGTCCGTGTTATCATGAATTCCACAAAAACTTTCCTTTTTCTAAACTTGGATAAAAAGTTCCGTACCTTTCGTTTAGGCGTCTTCATCGTTTAGTGTTAAGATTTATTTTAACAGTTATTTTATTTGCTGTTGTCAGGGACTATATTTTCGCTGAAATCACTGTAATAGGAATTTTCTAGAAATGGAAAGTATCATAACGAGGGGTTTTGTTCAGACACATAGAGAATATATGAATCGGCATGCTCATATTCCATTGGTTGGTTAGTGTGGATATCTGGATTATCATAGGAAGACAAATTGGAAAAATTGAAAAGAAGAAATTTAAATAGGTAGTCAACTGTTATTTTAGTACTTTCTGAGATCTTTATGCCATTTAATTCTGCATATCATTCTTGGTGATGGTTAAAAAACAGAAAGGTAAGGACTTGAACTTATTATTGTTGATTTTGTGATATGCAGAGTACCTAAAGGACTTGAACTGCCTAAGAATTGTGGAATGCATTTCAGGAGTCAATACTCGCTGTAAGCTGTTTAGAAGTACAATTGCGGATTTTTGTTTATCAATAGTTTAGAGCATTATTCATTACTATTACGAGATTACCCGAGTTTTTATTGTCCCTTTTAAGTTTTCACTTTTTCGGAGTTATTACCCATATAAAGAATTTAGCATTTTCACATTTAATACTCGTATTGTACATGTACGTACATATTTTTCATGCTTAATACACTTGGTTTTTACAAAATACACATAAAATTCATGTATTATACACATAATTTTAGCATAGTATTGAATAAAAATAATATATCTTAAAAAATTTAAATACAGTATAGCCGGGCGGCTATAATACCGTTTTTTATTTTAAAAATAGTATAGCCGCACGGCTATACTATTTTGACACATCGACGCTTTGCGGCTATACTATTTTGACACATCGGCGCCAAATCGTACCCTTTTTTTTCTTTTTGTAAATATTATAGCCGGTCGGCTATACTCGGGATTTTCAAATAAAATAAACAAGAGTATAGCTGCTCGGTTTTACTGGGGTTTTTAAAAAAAAAAAATAAATAAATAAATAGTACGGCTATACTCTTGACATAGATACTGTGATTTTTTTTAAAAAATTATTTTTTCCCAATTTTGTTTATCGATAGTTTAGAACATTATCCATTACTATTAGGAGATTTCCCGCGCGGCTATACTACGGTTTTTTTTATTGTTGATTTTGTACCTTAGGACTTGAACTGCCTAAGAAGTGTGGAATGCATTTCGGGAGTCAATACTCGCTGTTTAGAAGTACAGTTGCCCGTCAAATCCTTCTTAGTTATTTTGATCATAAGGTACTGAACCTGATTACAAGTTTGTTGAATATAGTACTAATTATGCTTTTATTCTAAGTTTTATCAAACGACTGTCCCCGCGAACTAAGTTAAGCTGTTAAAGGGAAAGAAAGAGGCAGTCTCTATGCAATCCAACACAACTTGAATGTCAAAGACAAAAGCTGTGATTTTTTCAAGATGTACATACACTTGGTGTTGACAGACAATTGGCTCTTGTCTAATCAACTTTGAGAATACAAGCCAATCTTCAAGGCACCGTCAGCTAATTCGGGTCGCCAAGTTGAAATCATGCATATTACAAAACATATGAGTGGGAAAGAATCAGGAAGAAAGTGCGCTGATAACAACTGGAGTTGTATTGAGTCAGGATCCTGAAGCAGGACGTTTTGAATCATATTGGGGGGGCTTGCCTCTAGTGGTTTTTGCAAAGGGAATGTTCGTTTGGTTTTCTTTGCTTCTTTCCTCCCTCAATAAGTTTCTCTGTAATGGATATATTGGTAATGTATAATGTAATTGGAGACAAATGCAGAGCAACAATGGCTTCTTCCCTACCTAGTTTAAAATTGCTTTTGAATTAGAGAGGAAAAATGTCATTCAATTTTAATTGGGTTAGTTTTAAAAGATATGAGACTAAATACAAATGCCTTTCGGCCTTAATCAAGATTTCATTAAGTTTTAGTACGGATGTCTCTCAAGAGATGTGAAAAATGAGAGCCCAAGTTATAGTGTATAGTTTTTCTCTTTTTTTTGTTTTTTTTCTACTTAAAAATACGGCAATTAGAAAGAATAAGCACTGCAAAAGGAAGTAGTTAATTATGCTAAATCATTAGCAACCAAGTTAGTCTCTCTAAAAATATGTCAAAATTGTACATCATCAAAACTATGACAAATGAATTTAATGTCTCAAATGATCATTCTAACTCACCAAGACATCGAACAAGTCCGTAATAAGCAAGTAATTAAGAGTTTAAGTCTTCTTATTTAATCCACATGTATGTAGTTGGATTGGAGTTTTTGCTAATTGGAATGGGGATCACTCTTTCGTCTATGTCAAGCAGAGTTTTTGATCAATTAGTGATTTTGAACAGATAAGCGGCAAGGACGACAGCTTTGTGTGGGGTATATGTGCTTTTGCAGATCAGGTTTTTGTTTTTAGGATAAGAAACAAACTTTCATTTAAGGAAAAATAGTGAAAAACAGAGGGGACATAAGACTTGACTGTAGGCCATAGGGCACCTTGTCCTCTATTTGTGATCTTTCTTTCGTTCCAAAGACCGGGTTTTCATTGATTACATAAAACCTCTATATTTTCTAAACTGATGCTTGGTTCTTAATTTTCGTTTTAACTTTGTGATTACAGAAAACCCCACCTCCTCTATCTTTTCCAGAGATTAAAAGTTGCTGTCTTTCATTAATGATGAGCTCAACTCTGTGATTGATATCTCTACAGAAAATGGTTAGTTATAATGCTTGGCTTTCTAGTTATCAAAAAATTATTGACATGCATTTTCTGCATCAAGATGAGTTTCCTCTTGTGCATATTATGGCCTGTACAGTAATGTGGCCTCGCAAAGTATATATTTAGTTGTTGATGTTTTGCAGGAGACACCTTCCTTGAAGAATTACTAGTAAATGCCTGGCTTTCAAAATTGGTATTTGGCCAGTCGTCATGTAGAAAAATCAGTAGCCACATGGACCTTTAATTTGAGTGAGTTTATATGTCACCCCGAGCCTGTCCTTTTAATCCTCATGAAATTTCTTGTGATGTGTTTACCCTTTTGTTTTTCAGTGCTATATTCACCGAAAGAAGATTTGAGGGCGTCTGCATGTGACTTCTGGTGTGCTATTCTCTCATTTGAAAATAAGGTGAGCTTGGTGTTTGCTTTTTGGCTTGGAGACAAGTTTGATTGGATAATATGTTGAAGGGAATAATTCTGGTATTAATTCTTAACCAGGTTGATTTACAGTCTATCAAAATTGATTGGTTTCCTAGTATTCTGAGTTAAAAATAGCTCTTGAAAGCTATGGTTTTCTATTCAACTTCTCATCTAACACGGATTCTGCTAGTTCCAGTAAGTTTCTTACCTTCTTACCAGTTTTCATGCATATTTCAGGTTAGACGTAATTTTTTTCATGAACAGGAGAAATATACATCCTTTATTCTGTATCTGTAGTAAACTATGTGTTGATACTTGATAGAATATCCTTTATGATGTGTATGTGCAGTAATTTCAAGAGAATTTTATTCTCTGCTTTCATGTTGAAGAGTCTTGGAAGGATTTTCTGGGTGCCTTGATCTTAATGTATATACCAACCTCTGTCCAACCTGGGAATAGAAATGGACCCAATAAATTTGTGCTTCGTATCCATTTGGCCTCCCCTACCAAAAAAGAAACAAAGTTCTAGTGCTCAAAGGGTTTATTTGTTCTTCAAATCTGACAAATGCTATACTTCAATGATGTTTTAGGATGGTTTTTTCGGGTGTCAATAGATCAGTTATGATTTTCAGATTTTCTATTTTCCAATTTCTTTCCTAGTTTTTGTCATACAATATACGAAATGTCATGTAGAATTTCATAGTTTTGCATGTTTCAGTTATTAATCTTCTCATAATAATTTTATTTTGCCTTCTAGATTCTGCTTGTCGAGGTCCAGCTCAAAATATTAGAGCTTGGCTTAAACTTGCAACTGCTTCTTGTCAAATGAGGTAAAGAACAATTGGAAATACTAGTTTGACGACACATAAGACAGCCATTTACTTTTCTCCTACGGATCAAACAGTTGATTTATAGGTTGGTGTCGGTTATTAGTTTTAGCTTATTGCTTATTGTTACTGTCTCATTAGTATGGGCTGCTTATTGGGCATATAGCCTATATAAATCCATTTATTCCTTTCATTTTTATGGCTGATATAAGTTGATAATTAGGCATTCAGATTAATGGCTGATTAGTTGTCAATTTGCCTAGTTTGTGGTCTAGGGGGTTCAATTCAGTTATGGTATAATTTATCAGCAATTCATGTCTTGAATCCTACATAAACCAGGGTACACTTTTAATTGGATAGCAATACAGTGATTTTCTTCCTTTCTAAATTTTTCTTTCGACAGGACCATCTTACAGCATGACAGTGATGTATTAATGATGTAAATGTTTATGAATAATTTGGAAATATGTTTGATTTGTAGTGCTTTTATTTGCAGAAACAAAAGGGCTATGTACAACCTCGGAAGCTGAAGAGTTGATTGAAGTCATTATTTGTCTATTTTCTGACCGCCAACTTCAAGTTCTTCTTGTGCTTTTGCATGAATGCGTTATGCATGTAGTCAGCTATCCGTTACTTCACTAACGAAGAATGGAAATCTAGCTGTGAGAAGATAGACTCTACTTGTTGTTTGGGGTTTTATTGCCTAAATATTGTTGTCTTCTTCTGTTTACCTTTACAATTCCTCTCCCTTATTATTGTTGATTTTGTGATATACGCAGAGTACCTAAGGACTTGAACTGCCTAAGAATTGTGGAATGCATTTCGGGAGTCAATACTCGCTGCAAGAGCATCCACAATGGGCTATCTAAACCACCTACTTAGACAAATTTTAGGGAGGAATTGTAAAAATACAACTCCAACCATGCTCCCAATCCACCTCATAAAATATGGAGATCTCTAGGAGCTCCTAAATATGAGGAGAGAGAAATGACTCCTAGTGACTCCCTATAATTTAATGCTAGTTTATTTAATGAGTATTTCAAACCTTTATTTAATGCTAACTATTTTATATTTTATTTTTAAATAGAGATGGACCAATCAAAAAAGAGTTACAGCATTTATGACTCCCTAAACTAGAGAGCATGACTGAAGTTTAAATTTTATAAAGAGCTCCTAAAATAACTTTTATATGTTTTTAGCTAAAATTTAACTAAAAAATAGAGAGCATGATTGTGGATGCTCTAAGCTGTTTAAAAGTACAGTTGCCTATTTTTGTTTATCGATAGTTTAGAGCATTATTCATTACTATTAGGAGATTACCCGAGTCTTTATTGTCCCCTTTTGAGTTGTTACTTTGCCAGAGTCATTACCCGTAAAAATTAGCATTTTCACATTTAATACTCGTATTGTACACGTACGTACATATTTTTCATGTTTAATACACTTGGTGTTTTACAAAATACACAAAAAATTCATGTATTATACACATGATTTTAGCATATTATTGAATAAAAATAATATATATATATATATATAAATTTAAATCTAGAAAACATATATTTCAAAACAGGGAAATTAATATCTATAAAGTATAAATTAGAAGGGTTCTTTTTTTAAATAAATAGTATAGGCGCCCGGCTATACTATGGTTTTTATATTATTAAAAATAGTATAGCCGCGCGGCTATACCATTTTACACGTGCGGGCCGCATCGCTGTTGGGCGGTAGGCGTGTCCCCCTTTTTTCCCTGTAAATAGTATAGCCGCGCAGCTATACCCGAGAAAGCGTATAGCCACGCGGCTTGACTAAATTTTTAATTATAAATAGTATAGCCGTTCAGCTATACGATTTGCATAGATACTTTGAATATTTTTTTAAAAAATTGTTTTTCCCTGATTTTTGTTTATCAATAGTGTAGAGCATTATCCATTACTATTAGGAGATTACCTGAATGTCAGTTTGGCGTTGCTTATTTGGTGTGATAAGTGATTTTTAAACAATTTTGGGAAGCTCAGCCTGTTTGGTAAACTATAAGAAAATAACTTATTGTTAAAAATTGTTGTGAGAGAAAGCTATAAGAGAAAGTAATTAATGAGGTGCTTTGATTTTCTGATTATACATGAATCAGTTTCAAAGAGGTGCTGGGTTTAATGATTATGCGACAATCATTTTTTGACTATGCTGGAATCAGTACCAACAACACTTTTAACAAAAAGTTTACCAAACACGAAATTGCTTAATCTCACAACTGATTTTTCTCACAGCAAATTTGACAACAATTATTTTCATAGCACAGCAATACCAAACTAGCCATGAGTCTCTATTATACCCTTTGGAGTTTTACTTTCCAAAGTTATTACCCGTATAAATAATTTAGTATGTTTAATACTCATATTTTACACATGCGTACTTATTTTTCATATTTAATACACTTAGTTTTTACAAAATTTTCAATAATACACACAAAATTCACATATTATACAAATAATTTTGGCATATTATTGAATAAAAATAATATATATTAAAAAAATAAATTTATAAATTATATATATTGAAACTTGCAAATTAATATCTATAAAGTATAAATTAATATAACTAGAAGGGTTCTTTTTTCTACATTTTTTAAATAGGTAGTACATCAGCGCGGCTATACTCCTTTTAAATATAATATACTTAAAGGGTATAGCCGCACGGATATACTACTGTTTTTATTATATAAAAAAGTATAACCGCGCGACTATACTACCGGTTTTTTTTACTATTCATTTTGTGATATGCAAAGTACCTTAAGAGTCAATACTCGCTGTAAGCTGTTTAGAAGTACAGTTGCCAATTTTTTTTTATCGATAATTTAGAGCATTATTCATTACTATTAGGAGATTACCCGAGTCTTTATTGTCCCCTTTTGAGTTTTTACTTTTCCAAAGTTGTTACCCATATAAAGAATTTAGCATTTTCACATTTAATACTTGTATTGTACACGTATGTATGTATTTTTTATGTTTAATACACTTATTTTTTTACAAAATCCATGTATTATACACATAATTTTAGCATATTATTGAATAAAAATAATATATACTAAAAAATTTAAATATAGAAAGTATATATATCGAAACAAGGAAATTAATATCTATTAGTATAAACGAACGAAACTAGAAGGGTCCTTTTATTTTTATATATAAATTTTTTAAAATAAATTGTATAGCCGCGCGGCCATACGCTTGTTAAATATAATATACTTAAAGAGCATAGCCGAACGGCTATACTATGGTTTTTGTATTTAAAAATACTATCATTGCGCGGCTATACTATTTTTACATGTGAACTCTGAATTGCTAGTTGGGCGCTAGGCATGTCCTTTTTTTTTTTTTTTTTTTTTTTTTTTGGAATTTTTTTTATAAATATTTTATAGCCGATTGGCTTTACTAATTTTTTTTATGTATAAAAAATAAATTGTGTATCCGTGCAGCTATACTCTTTACATAGATACTGTGAAATTTAATTTTTTTTATAAATTGTTTTTCCCCGACTTTTGTTTATCGATAGTTTAGAGTATTATCCATTACTATTAGGAGATTACCTGAGTCTGTATTGACTCCTTCAGAGTTTTTACTTTCTAGAGTTATTACCCATATAAAGAATTTAACATTTTCACATTTAATACTCGTATTTTACACATACGTACTTATTTTTTATGTTTAATACACTTGGTTTTTTTACAAAATTTTCAATAACATACACAAAATTCATGTATTATACAAATAAGTTTCTCATATTATTAAATAAAAATAATATATATTATAAAAATTAAATCTATAAAGTATATATCGAAACTATGAAATTAATATCTATAAAGTATAAACTAATGCAACTAAAAGGGTTCTTTTTTTGTTTTTTAATTTTGTTTTTAAATCAGTACTATAGCCGCACGGCTATACTCCTATAATAGACTTTTTATCACAAATGGTCCTTAACGTTTAAGATTTTATCACGAATGGTCCTTGAGGTTTTTTTGTGACACTAATAGTTCTTAACGTTAGGGCTTTTTATCATAAATGGTCCCTCCGTTAAAAATTCTGTTAAGTGTCTGATGTGGAAGACAAGTGGAGCCCATATGTCCAATCACATTGTGACATGTGGATGAAAAAATAATTAAATAATTTTTTTTATTTATGAAAATGCCTTTTTTTTTCTACAACTTTTCATCCCCCTTCCTCTACTCCATCTCTCTCCCCCTCTGCCCTCGCTCTCCATCCTCTACCCCCTCTCTCCCCATCTGCTCTCCCTCTCTCCCCCCTGTCCTCTCCTTCTCCCTCTGTAAAAATAATAATATAACCCATATATCTTTCTCCATCTTTGTATAGTGGTATATAAATCATAACCCCTTTGTTTTTTTCTTACCCATTGCCTGCCACCTGCAAGAAAAAATGGTCTTTGGGATTCTTTTATTGGTATCTGTTTTTTAACACAGCCACCTGCAAGCCGCAACCCATGCCCAACTCCCCTACCCTCTCCCACTGTATTTTCTCTCCTCCTCTACTCTCCCCCTCTATTTTTAATTATTTTAAGTTGTTTGAATAAATATTTGTATAAAAGGAAATGTGAAACTACCTTGTGCAAGTGATTATTTTGCAAAACATACAGAGGGAGAGGGGTGGGTTGCGGGTGGGTGGGCATGGGATGGTTGGGCTGGACAGGCAAGGAAAAAAAACAAAGGGAGAGGGAGAGCACAGGGAGGAGAGAGGGCAAAGGGGAGGGGGAGAGAGATAGAGAATGGATTTTCATAAAATAAAATAAAATTTATTTATTTATTTATTTATTTATTTAATCCACATGTCACGATGTAATTGGACATGTGGGCTCCACTTATTACACTTAACAGAATTTTTAACGGAGGGACCATTTGTGATAAAAAGCACAAACATTAAGGACTATTAGTGTCACAAAAAAACCTCAAGGACCATTCGTGATAAAATCGTAAACGTTAAGGACCATTTGTG